AAGAAACAAATATTTGTAGTTTAGCACCTACCTCTATGCAAAATTCTTAAGAAAACAAAATGAACCCAGAGGGGAACAGGATTTGTTTGAATATATGGTGTCTGAACATTATTAAATGAAGTTTTAATCAGGAAAAAAACAGTGCTTGCCCTGCAAGATGAGCAGCATTTTCTGGAGATGTTTAGAACATATGCTGGGATATAGATCGATGGAGTGGAGACTTATGATCAAAATGGATTTTTTAATTGCAGTATGCATCAGATTAGCTTTAGTTTTATTCCTAACAATTTCCTGAAGAAGTATCATTTTAGTTAATGTCCCAAGCTGAGAGCTTGTTTTCGCAACCTGAAAAATAAACTTTTAGGAATTTTACTGGAACAATTTTATAATGCCATGTTCCACATTCATCTTGGCCTTACTCATGACTGAAATGTAGGTGCAAGGGTATAGATATATACACACTGTTGTTCAGAATAAAGTAGCATTTGGAAATATTCAAGAAAGGACATGTTAAAATTACTTAGATGACATGTATGTCTATTCAAACATTACTTTTACATGTTTAAACTCATAACGTAAACCCCTTACTTTAGAGGACTTCTTTCTACACTACAACTGCTAGCAATTAATCTTGCCTTTATAGCCTGAGTTTAAGGCCTTTAAGACATGAGCAAGCTACACGACAAAAAGGTAAGTTTGAGGCATGAGTGTGATGCAAACAGCTGCACAAAAACATGCAGAGTTGTGGCCAGGTACCAGCTGAAGGTCTGACTGAAGGCAGTTTTCTCCATCATGGAATAAATTCACATTTGATAATCTTCATCAGCTCAAGAACCTATATCACATGTTTGGAACTACTTGTTGACTTGTTGACTACTGGTAGCTTGAGCTAAACTAGTGAAGTTTTTCATGTGTTAAAGGCATAACAAATAGGAATGCACAATCAACATTATCCAGGCTCAAGTGTTAGAGGTACACCAACACTGAGCGAATGTAGATTTGCTTTATTCATATTCCTATGGAAAAGGAAACTTCTCATCTAGCAGAAGATTATTTTTTCATTTTATATTTAAGTTACTATCAAGCAGGTCTTACCTAAAAGTCATAATATGTCCATTGGCACAGAAACATGCAAGGCAGATACTGTTACTCAACGACACTACATCTCCACGAAGAACAAAAGAAGTCTCTGTTATGTTTTGCTTATAAATACAGTTCTGGGATGGCAGTGAGATAACTTTTGCTTGCTTTTCTGAACATATCACTGCATATTGGTTTTCACTGATTTCCTGAGAGGAAGAGGGGGACACTGAGACAGGTCGTCGCTTTTTTGATTTATCTTTTTCATCTTTATCTTCAGGAACATTGTGTTCCCTCCAGGGTTCATGTGCTGGTGGGACCAAGGATCCTGTGGTATCCAGAAAAGCCATTCTCAAGATTGCCCCTTTTAGCCTCAGGATGGTTCCTAGGAAAAAAGTTGAGCACATTTCTAAAACAGCTCTCCTAAATTGTCTTTCAAGCTACAAAATACTCCTTTACGAAGCTAGCAAAATGAAAACAATAACTTAGGCCTGCCTCTGTAGCAAAACAGACACACCAAAACCTTTGGATATTCATCTAAAAACCAATGAAACACGTGCAAGAGCACATATATAGCAATGATAATGTTAAACCGGTTTTCGAGGGTTAAGTGTATGCATACTCTTCTATTAACTCCAGCAGAAACATATACATTTATTATGAGAGCCAAGCTGGAATGCACATTTGTATTCAAGTTCAGCGTCACAAATGCGACTAGTTTCTTTCTCTCCTGAGAAGTACACAGTGTGCTTAATATCAACAATAAATGTTATTACTCAAAGATGAGCACCTCCTTTTTCTTCAGAAACAAGCAACATGAGGTTTTTTCCCACTGCAGTTCATGCTTGAACTCCTTTCTCTAGCATAACAGGAAGGAGGAAAAGTTTCCGCTCCCCACCATTGAAATCACTGTCTCTGTAGACCAGATCTTAAGCTAATACATTTTTTTATTTTACTTATATTTATTCACGCACAAGTAAAGACATGAACATTTGCTAGGTACACAAAAAATCATATACATGGCAGTACCTTTTAGGGTTCATGCTGCAGATTCAGTGATTAAACATACTGTCCAGTCTGCAGCCTTGCTTTCACGATCCAATGTTACCAAATCTGAATACTGCTGCCAATACTATACTCAACAAGCACAAATCAAATATGGTCTAGAGGTCGCACTATTCCTAATCACTATTTCAATCAAGTAGCATTGCAGTTTGCATGTCCTGATACCATCTGTTTGAGCAAAGTGGAGCAGAGCTGTATGTTCTGCATGAAACAGTGGTAGCAGGCAAGGTAAATCTGTGCCTAACAGCACATTCAGCAAACAATACATAGTTACAACAAAATCAGTTACTGCAGAAAAACAAGATACAAGACCTCTCACAACAATCAAAAGGAATATTTTATCACTACTATTTTAAACTAGTTGTTCAATATACAACCCTTAATTTGTATCCCCTTTTCATGATGCAGGAAAACTGAAAGTTTCCTACCTCATGACTAAAAAAGAATAAATCGAACATTTGAACTACTCACCTCTTCTGCTATTTCTGTTTAATAATTGCCACTAAGGTTAGAAAACATGCTTTTCTCAGCAAGTTTATATTAAAGCAGTATTTTTATATTGTATGAGATCATATTTTCAGCTTTGCAACTTTAAAACTCTGGTAATGCAGTAACCAATCTAGATTGTTAAACTTAGTAGCTAAATCAATGAAGTATAAATTAAGTTTCAATTAATCCATAATTCAGAAAAACAGTTGCTTTTTTAAAACAAAAGAACTACAACAATACTTCACCAAAGTATACTTTAGTCCGTCTGCTTTGTACATACCACTAGGAGAAACAATTACTGGCTGAAGAAGTCTTTGTTCTCCTCCTGGGGGTAAGTTCAGTACAATGACAAGCACTGTACCCAGTGTGGTCCCAACCCACAGGCATGGGGAAGGTGATGTATCAGCCTTTCTTGTGTAAGTCTCACAAAAATGAAGAGCTGAAATTGCCTCGCGTGACTCTTTATCAATGCTAGTTACACTAGAACTCCGGGACCGACTGAAAGAGTTGTCTTTGACATCTGAAAATAAATCAGCATTAATTAAAAACCAGAAAAATGCAGGCATTAAGAGTATTCAGATTTTTCTTTTTTGCTCTTTAGCATGAAGTACATACTAACTGTCATTCTATTGATTATTACTCCTGTATTCTTCCTTAATCGTATTTCCTTTTGGCCCAATTTTCAACACTGTATCCTAAACAAAGTGCCCATTCTTTTTCTGCACGGGTTGCCATCAGGCAATTGTCATGAACAATTGTTACGCATATTTTGGTCTTCTTGGGACAGAGAATAACAGTCAGCAAACAGGATGACTCCCTTAAAAATCTGAAATACGAACCTCTCTGCCAATTAGTTCACTGATCAGATTAAAAAGATATTGGCTTCCATGGAACATGGTTTATTTTAGCAACTGCAGCAACATCCAGACAGCACAATAACATGTAATCTGTAATGACTCACAATAACATTGTCCCACTTTTGGAAACTGTATGGAGGACATCTAACAGGCTATTTATGCACACCTGAACTTTTCGTAAGAGAAACATCAAACGCTACCAAATGCCACCTGGCACTGGTATGCAAAGCTGCAGATTTTCATTCTGAATGGAAGTGTGTAGTGTAGTGCCAGAAATGGCAATAAAACTTTTCAGGATGTCCTGCTCACTGCTTAGAAAATAAGGTTCTCGCAATAGAGAATGAATTCCAATATTAAAGATAGCTCAAACCAGTAAATATGCTGCTTCATTCTAGCTGTGTGCTATCTGCACGTGTGGTGATACTTAACACATCAGCATGTCTGAATTTATCTGTGCATTCATGAATTAATGCTTTAACTCATCATTCCAAAATTTTAGCACAAGACAACCCTCACTAGTAAAAGTTTGATGCAATTTATATATCGGCTTTTAAAAAATTAAGTTATTTTGGATCTTTGGGTAAGGTATAGATGCAACTGACACCTTTAAAGCAGGATTAAGAGCTAAAGAGCAACATTTAACCACATACTTTCTGGAAGTATCACTACACTAATTTCATTAAATTACTGCAAAACTTTCTAGAAGATCTAGCATACATTTGAAAAGCATACAAACTAGATGTCAGCTGACTAAATACAGACATCTACTCAGAAACAGCGAATCTTCTCAGGAGATACTTGTCTCATTCTAATAAGGACAGAAAAACTATTGTCCTGCAGAACTTCAGCTAAGTCAAGTGTAAAATATGGATTATAGAAAGAAGCTAGGTCAACCACTCAGATGTTGACATCCTAAATTTTCACATCAAAAAAATCAAATCCAGAATAAAACAATGTAAATAATTACTTGTTTTTATGTTCTTCTAATGACCAAAAGCTCTTAGGAAGCTTGTTTCTTCAGGCTTGAATATTTACTAACTTAATGTGTTTTCAACTCTAACATGGATTAATCAGTCTGAATGTAATCATATGTTAACTGCAACAGGCATAAAATCAAACGTGCATTTGTTGAGTTGCATCTGGTTAGAATATTTGAAGAGCATGTGTACAAATTCCAGAAGGATTGGAATAGACAGGAAAAACCCCCCAAAAATTAACTTGCCAGACAATATGGGCATTGCGGAGAGCGGACAACTCGCTCGAAGAGAGAGCTGAGATTAAAGAGTTTAACTGCTTCAGTGCATATTACTTATCCTGAAGTCAAGGAAGAATATATGGTTTGTTAACCACTTCGTTTCAGATGAATGAACAACAGTGTGATGACCCTCTACATACCACTTCATCAGAAGGATGGAAAAATGAAGCTCTTTCGAGCAACTAAACCAAATGATAGGACCTAGTGTCAACGCTACCTTAATCATCTGAATTACAGCAATGAAAAGCAATGATATAATGCAGACTAGAGTATGTTCAAGATACTTCTGTTTTAGAAGGTGGAGGATAAATACCGAAGCACACGCTTTAAATTTTGTTTTGGCTAAAGAGGAAAAGGGGTAGGTTAAAGATCTAAAGACAGAAAAGTAACTTGAAAGAATGAGATCATGGAAGAGTAGGTTTCAAGAAGCCATGGAAAGAACAGAGACAAAATGATAACAAACTTGCAAGAAAGGCATTTCAGCTGTCACAGAATCACAGAATGTTAGGGGTTGGAAGGGACCTCTGTGGGTCATCTAGTCCAACCCCCCGCTGAAGCAGGGGCACCTACAGCAGGCTGCACAGGACCTTGTCCAGGCGGGTCTTGAATATCTCCAGAGAAGGAGACTCCACAACCTCCCTAGGCAGCCTGTTCCAGGGCTCCGTCACCCTCAGAGGGAAGAAGTTCTTCCTCATGTTCAGACGGAACTTCCTGTGCTTCAGTTTGTGCCCATTGCCCCTTGTCCTGTCACTGGGCACTACTGAAAAGAGTTTGGCCACATCCTCCTGACACCCACCCTTCAGATATTTGTAAGCATTTATAAGGTCCCCTCGCAGCCTTCTATTCTTCAGGCTGAACAAACTCAGCTCCCTCAGCCTCTCCTCGTAGGAGAGATGTCTCCTAGAGCCAGTAGATTTGGCCACATAAGTGACAAAAAGACCACAAGCAAGCTGACAATCTTTGAAGAACACTATCAAAAGCTATCCTGCTAGGAGAAAAGATAGAAGGAAAATAAAAACAGATAATTGCCTAAGGAAGTTATTTACAGACCTGGAAACCTAGAAGAATTTTATACAGAACAAAATGAGGCATCTAAGTGCAGATATCCACACATGTGCAAAGTCAAGCAAAACCAGTCAAATGCTATTACAATTCGGAAGTCACCAACTGTTTTATAAGCACCCCAGAAGTGAGATGACAAAAAAAATCCATTATTTCAGTAGAAAGAACAGCAAATATTAAATGTGTAAAATGCTGAAACTGTTCAAGTATCAGAATTCCATCATTCTCTTTTCTCCAGTCTTCATTAAAAAAAGAGAAAACTTCTAGGCACTTATTGCTATCAAAGAACTCTGAATAAAACAGTAGAATTAGCACGGACTGGATAATTTAAGCACAAATGTGTTCTGTTCGGGAAGTATGATAAAATTCACCATACACTGAAGTAATCCCTTAACATATTAGTCCCTACATATTAGTAAACATAGTAAGGAAGAACAGAAACAGACTGAAAAGACAAATCAAATTTTTCTGCTCTTACATGCCAAAAATGCACAGTTAAATCCATCTAGTGCTGGGCACAAGAGTTTTAGAAAGATAAGAAAAAATTCCAAGTCTAGAGGAGATTAACAGAAGCAATCCTAGATTTAGACAACATAACCTAAAAAAGTAGAAGGAACTGAATTTTCTAAAAAAAAAAATCTGCAAAAATGAAGATTAAAGATTCGATGACAGCTTTCAACAGCATAAAGATAGGGAGCACTTGTCATCCATGTTCATTGTGGAAAGGACAATAAAAAGTTAATACAGAAGTAAGGAAGATTGATTAAATAACAGGAAATTCACCCAACTACAAAACATTGGAACATTGTCTGGGATTTTTCTAAAAAACTTATTTATTGGAGGCTTATGAATAGATGAGAGAGTAAATTGTCAGACATCTGGATCCTTGCCATAGCAATGGATTAAAGGATCTCTGAGGGTTCCTTCCAACTTCACATTTCTGAGTGGAGCAAGCTGCAGTGGCAAATTGTAAATCAGGGTGGTCCAGTTCAGTCTCAGGATATCCCAGAGCCATGGACTCTTTCCTTGCTGATAGCAGCAGTTGTCAAATACGCAGTTCTGCAGCTGCCAGTCTGATACTGGTCTGTCTTCTGCTGGGATTGTGGCAGCAATTGTGCTGCAGGGTGGGGAACAAGCTGTGGCAGGCAGAAGGCAGCTTTCAGATTCAGGCTGCGTCTACTGCTGTAGGTCTACAGCTGTCCCCCACATCTTTAAAGGGCAAGGCAGGGGAGCTGGATCTGATCTACAAGCTGGCAGTCAAAGTAGTAAAAAAACAAAAATCTACTCATTTGTATGCTGTTTTGGTCATGTAATATAATGACCTTTAGTACTTCAGACTTCACAACTGAACTGCTTCTTATATAAAAATGTCCTGTCCTTTTTCAAGAAAAATGAAATCCTCAGACTGGTCATCCATCCAAACAGCTGTATATTATTTTCATTTAGAGAGAGTGGTCACAAGACAATTAATATTTGTAAAATTATGTCCAGCTATTTGCTGAGTGGACCTCAACACATACTGATAAGATATTTCATTTTTCAATTTAAAATATATCTGATGGTTCTAAATAGGCAGCAATTTTCCTTACATTACCTGCTTATTCATGCTTTTGCTATCTAAGCACTACAGATAAAGTGACTGACAGATGCCTAAAAATTAGACGGAAGTGTGATAAGCCATGTACAAGATTTGCAGGCTTACCTTATGATGGCAGCAATGACATTTTGTGCCTGAGAGCCCCCAAAAAGAGTGGAATTAAAATTTTAGTTCTATGCTTCAGACAAATGCAACAAATTCATGATAGCTTACATTATTTAAGACTCTTACTGTAATGCACTCGCATTCTGTTAAACAGTTTTAGTAAAAAATAAAGTCAACTATGTAAACTTACCTAAATCAGGCTTTAACTCTGTTGGCAAACTTAGCTTCCTGGACATCTTTGCTGAAAAGTGAAGTATATCTTTTTTTTAAAAAAAAGAATAAACATGATTCTGCTGGCCTTTATTTGCCTCTTTCCCAATATTTAATATATAACTGTTTATTACATTATTTGCAGTACTTAACAGGATTTCTACTAAAGCAAAGCCTCACTTCCACAAGGGAGGCATGCAAAGTAAAACACGGAAGATACCAAAATCCCCAAACACAGCATTTTGTGACTTTTGCCAAGCTTCATTTCTCCTCAGGCTTCAGGCAGAACTTGATGAATTGGATAAATTTTGCTTTGGCTCAATCTCAAGTTTTATCTCCTCAGGTGAGAGGACAGAATACAGACTCTTGGCTATTGCAAGAATGTGCACTGAAGTTTACATCCCATCCCCTCTTCTTCTGCCCTACTTCCTGATCAAACCTGAGTATTTAAAATAGAGAAAAGAAAATTTTAATAATGCTAAAACATTAATGCACATGTGTAAAAAGCTAGTAATCCGAGATGCAGTCTGCACCCTTGGAAAAATGAAGACATTACAGAGAACAACTATAAAATCAGCAGCACGCAAACACTTGCACCACTGTCAAAGAAAAGACAGTTTAATTTTTAATGGTATTGCTGAAGTAAAAAATAGCACTTGAACTCATATCTGGTTTGGAAAATCTTCCTTATAGGAATGGAAATCCTGCCGTCCACTTAAAATGCAGTACAACACTAACAATTGTTGCTATAATAAAAGTTACTAGTAAACTAGTAGCCATACATCCCTCTTCCATCTTTCTTTCAACAATTACTGGAGAGGAATATTTTTGATGTAGATTAACTACTTGACCAGGGCTAGACTCCGGATTTATTTCCCAGCCACAGGCTTGAATTTTGAGACATCATTTATTTCTTCACTATCCTGTAAGCATCATACTTCTCTACCTAAAGCAGATGTTGAGAATAGCCTCATAATTCTAGGAGTACCTTGTAATGTATACCAGTCATAAAGCAGCCTGAATCTTGGTGCTTCTCTCAGCTAAAAATAGAATTCAGTCATTCTAATTATTGTTTTAACAGAAATCTTTCCGTTTTCTACATATCCTGAAGAACAGCATGTGATTTAAAGTTACTTCCACTCCTTCAGAAAGTGAAATACTTCACTGTATCATCAATTATGCTCATCAATATTGCAAATGCTAGTTATCTGAATAGTTGAACAGTTTTATTTCTGTCACACAATGTAAAAATTTGAGAATAAGACTCCAGAAATAATCTTCTAATTTCCTTCATGTGTCATTGTTACAAAGTACATCTTATTCCAATTAAACTGAAATGACTTACTGTCAGACTGCAATGCGAGTCACTAACTTATCCTAATTCAGGCTGAAACTGAACAGGGCAGTCTGACTACGTTTTCTACCCTCATCCTTGCATTGGCACTGGCATCTGCCCAGTTTAACGGTGAGGCCAAAACTCTTCTAAATGAAGTTACTGGCAAGGGCTGTTTTCAATGACATCAATTTCTGTTTCAAATCAGAGCTCAGCTATACCAACAGAAAACCATGGTACAAAACAGCACTAGTGACCAGTAGCCCATCATTTTGCTTCCAGCTTGAACTTTAAATCAGCTTGAGCAGAGATCATAGAATCATAGAATGCTTTGCGTTGGAAAGGACATTTTGAGGTCATCTAGCCCAACTTCCCTGCAGTGAGCAGGGACATCTTTAACTAGGCCAGCTTGCTCAGAGCCCCATCCAGTCTGGCCTTGAATGTTTCCAAGAATGGGGCCTCCACCACCTCTCTGGGCAACCAGTTCCAGTGTTTCCCCATCCTTATGGTAAAAAATTTCTTCCTTGTATCTAGTCTAAATCTACCCTCCCTTAGTTTAAAGCCATCATGAAACCCCATCTGGAATTGTGAATTACAATATGGGCGTTCCTCATCAAAAGACTTGGTTTCTGTGTTACACATGTAAATCCTAAAAGCTGAGATACTGAACAAAAGCTCAAGTATGCACAGAGAAAATAATTTGAGTTATTTCTGGATTTTCAAGGCTTTTACCATGTGTGAATACCAGCAATGATTAGTTAACTTAGTCACTCTGAAGACCAGAGCAGTCACTTTTGGCTTTTCAAACGGAAATGTTTAACACACAATTTTAACAACTCTGAAAAAACTGTCAAAAAAATAAGATACTAAGTAACAGGTAATTACAAGTACAGGCAAATGTGTTGGATTTTAAAAAAATAAGATACTAAGTAACAGGTAATTACAAGTACAGGCAAATGTGTTGGATTTTAAGAGTCAATCCACGGTTTTAATTTTTTGTTTTAGTGAAAGGCCATCTGTATGAACTAGGTTGATAAGGCGAAACAAATTTGTCAAAACATTATTTTCTATAAACAGTGAGCTATGACTCATTAATAGGATAAGAGGATACACAAGTTGTTAAAAAGGATTTCATTGCTAGAAATCATTAATTAATATGCTATGCAAAAAAATACATTTCAAAACAGAATTTGTCAAAATAATTCAAGTGTAAATAGGAAACAAGAACCTATTCAAAGAGCAGTAGTGCCATCTTGTGTTTAAAGAAAGAAGAGCCTGAAGATACAATGAGAAATAGGAACATTTTGGCAACTAAGCTGTTTTTAACTAACATCGCTTAGTATAAAAAAAAACCTGCTTGTAGTCATATTTGGTTTATGATTTACAGTATTTTTGGAAAATTCAGTTTTGCTATGCCTCAGATGAAAGCCAGCAACACGCTAGACAACTTCTACAACACAAGATATATGTCAGAAATGGAAAAGATAGGATGAAGATCTACGGAGAGCGCGCAATGTGAGGCTTTTTACTCCAGTTGTACAACAGGGTAGAGGTGATGGTGACTGCTCCCTCTGGGCCTGGCTAACCTCAAGAAGTAGCTGCCATATCAGTGTTTCGAGCCCCTCTTGGGGGGGG